ATACACCTAAATTTTACTCCAAAACCTAAGCGTTTAACCACCCATCTTTATCCACTAAGCCTGTTAACTGGCATATTACCCTGAAGGTAAATTCTAACTTGATTGGATCCACACTGTTTATAACGAAACCCATTACCTTGCACAAATTAACCATATCGAAGTAACAAAAGGTGTGGGAAATTATCCTAAAGGAATGAAGATTGTTTGCACTAGGTCCACCTAAATAAGAATGTGTGTAAATAGCTTAAATTAGCCTGTGTTTACCTGTGCTAAACTTATTACTTGAAAGGAAACTTGGTTTTAAAAATGCAGTCTAAAAACAGTACAAGTAGCATCACTGGTCCCTCAGGAGACCAGTAGGTGAAGGAGGGGCTTGAGTGATTTCAGCACCTTTTAAGGTAAAGAAGGAGGTAATCCGCCTTTAATTCATTAGCCAATCAGGTTCTGAGGCCATTTCTCAAAGCCACTTCCCGTCTCTCCACTTTCTTTCCGTTTTGGAGGTGGGTTGGTGAGTGTGAACTTAATTTTGCTCCCTAATTGTTTTGAGTTTCTCTGCCCTTTGAGCCTTGTATCCAGTTTGCAGGCCTGTACTTTGAGCAAGCACTGGAGTGTGTGTGAGTCCTGAGGCGATTAATTTCAGCTGTGGAGATGGGGGAAGGCAGTACATCTGCACTGCCTGGCTTGTTTCCACGTGGCCGCTGCAGTCCTGGGTCTACCTTCCCTGAGATTTGGTGACCCAGGAACAATAGTCTCTGCTTCACGTACAGAGTGCTTGTGTTCCTGGAAAACGTCTGAATTCATATTGCTTGGAGGGGAAGGTATTCTTATTCTGATGTTTTGAATTATCTTCCTGGGTGAGGGTAGATCTTCGGAAGAGTTCAGGCAAGTAGTTTTAATTCTGTGTGGGCAGGGCCCAAGTCCTAATTGGGTTCGTTGGAGCTGATGTGGACGTTGTCCTTGCCCTGGGCTTTGCTCAGAGCATCCTGGCTTTCCTGGTGAGACAAACTCTGAAGTCAGATGATTTTAGTGAGCCCTAAGAGGAGCTCCCAAATTTAAAGCACCACCGTTGTTAAGGTGCCCTAAAAAGCTTAAGATGTACTAAAAAAGATCAGGGGTCTTACCTCACTGCAAACCTAAATCAAATTCTAGTGCCTCAGTTTACTCCAGTGACCTTGGGTAAGTCAGTGAACTGAACCATTCTGAGGCTCAGCTTTTGAAGATCAAAATATAGGAAGGTCAGGCACTAGTCAGTGTACAATAAATGCTAGGCACCTTCTAGAAGCAGTGAATATTTTGGATATCTTTTTTCCTCATGAAAAGTTTTGCCTGGTGACCTGGAGTGTAATTTCACCAGACTGCCATTTTTCTCCGCTATATGTTAGTGTGAGTATAATCAATGTGTTGGTTAGCCTTACAGGCAGGTGAGAAAGATTAGTGGATAGATGGAATGTAGTAATGCCACTTGTAGACCTCCCATAATCATTGTAATGCTCAGGCTTTATTGTTTAGTTAATGTTATTTTTTGAAGAGGTTATATTCATGAACATTCATGGTTCGAGATTAAAAAGGGATCAGCGTATATGTTCATAAAGCAAAGTCTCCTACGCCACCTGATTTCCCTCCCCAATAACACTGTTAAGTTTGTGTATCCTTCCTAAAACAGTTTATGTGGATGTAAGGAAATACATATATTTAACCCTTGCCTCTGCTATACATACTGTAACATGTACCTTTCTTCTCCCACTTAAGATTTCCAAGTGAGTAATAAAGGTCTGCATTCATTATAGTATAGTAAAAGTAGTACAGTACAGTAATCTAATGTATATACATTATTTACCCTTTATTGGTGGACATTTAGGTAGTTTATAATCTTGTTATTTTCCCCAAATGAATGAATAATGTTATACATAAGTCATGTTTCACGTGTCATGTTTCAGTTGGGCTTTGATGTGTAGTTAATAAGGACTTTAAATATGCAGTGCTTCCGATTACTTGTATTCAGTTTGTGCACCAATGATGACTAGAAACCAACTAAAACCCTAAATATCTAGACTGATCAAAAAAGGATTTTTCTATCAAAAGCAAAAGCATGCTGATGGTTCTTATGTGAATATATCTTTGCCCACTTAAGTTTAAGGAAGGGGGGTGGTTTATTCTGCTGTGAAACACACATTAATTGCTGAGAAGTAATAACAGCGTGAAGTGGAGAAGCCACATTTCCAGTGTTTATTTAGCAAAAGGCATGCTGGATATCTACCTGAAACTATGACATTGAGTAAGCTCATATATTTTAGCATTAAGTTAGGAAAAACAAATGTTTTTGGAATGTAAACATGTAAAATAAGGGCCCGTGGGAATTCTGCCAAAACTATTTATTTTAAAAGTCTTCAGAGGCAAGTTCTCCAGTTAGGAGGTTTTGCTGATGAGGAGAAAAATTAGTTCAATAGAAAGATGCTATTGTTATTAAAGATTAACTATATAGAATATATCAGAGTCTCCATTGTTAAGTAGGAATGAGGAAAAGGGGGAAGCAAATTTTTAAAATTTTTTTCCTGAAAGACACAGTATCTTGGATTTGGAAGAGCCATTATGAATAGAATGACATTCCTGGCTTCAAGATTATTGTGAAAGTGTTGAAATTTTTAGGCAGAATATCTACATGCCAGCTACTGTGCAAAGTATTTTATATTTATTTTACCTCAAATATTTATTCTACACAACAGTCCTAAGAGGTAGGTGGTATCTATCTGCTGTGGAGCCCCTAAAAGTCAGGTGGACTTGGATTCAGAAATTTGCAGCAGGAATGGTCAAAGGTAAATGGGACCATAAAGGCAAGTACTTGAGATATGATGCATTAAGTGTTCTCTGTGTCACATGTATATGTGTTTTTTATCTAAAGAAGAGAAGAGGTTCTTTAAATTACTATTGTATCCCATAATGCTAGACCCACAGTAGGTACTGAGTAAAACTGAGCAGTAATATAATCTTAAAATGGAAACATCAGCTGATTTAGATTATCAATTTGTAGTTTGTATCAGGCTTTCATGAAGTATCTCCTCACATATGTAAATGTACCTTTTGGCCATGGGCACCAGTACTTTGAATCACTTACTTCCCACAGGGAAAATAAAAGGAGTGAACATTGACTGTTTATGGGGTATTAATAAAATACTTTAGCTCCCTAAAAACTGAGAATATGAAATTGCCTTCATGTGGTAGAATGCCATTTGCTGAAACGTGATTAGAATCCTTCCGGGAGCTTCACACTCAGGAAAGGCATCACACATTTAACATCAGGATTGATGTGTGAGGCTTTGTGCTATGTGCCAAGGACAAAGAGTAGACTGTCTGCAATCTGGGTTTAGTTTGTGAGATAAGACAAAAATGAGAAGTTGAACCCTTAAATCTATAATTGTTCTCCAGTAAGAAGTTCTTGGATCATGGAGTTTTGAGGTAGACATTGTTAAAACTATAGAAACCTGACTTTATATCTTGCTTCCTGTCTACACTTCTTTAGTTATCTACACTTCTTTAGTTAATCTCATGCTGCTGATCTAAAAACATTTTGCATAATTAAACATTATTCAAATATAGGAAAAGAAAGGAGTACATCTGAGGTACATCTCAGTTCCCTATCTCCTGAGCCAGTATGTCATTCTCATTACTTTTTAAAGCAAACCACCCTATGTAGCTATGCTTATTTCATGCAGGAAGTAGCATGGTGAAGTGAAAATAGGGAGGTTCAACAGAACTGGGCTTAAATCCTAGCTCTTAATAGCTAAGTGATCTTAGGAAATTTATTTAATTTCTAGGAGTGTCAAATTTCCTTGTAATAAAGGGTTGTTATAAAGTTTGACATGATTTCTATAGTTCCTGACAGATAGTGGGAATTTCTAAGAATGATAGCTGCTGCTACTACTTGTCAGCTTCTTTAGTCATAACCATCCTTTAAGTCACAGTTGTCCAACAGAACTTTCTGTGATGATTGAAAATGTTTTATATTTATATTGTCCAATATAGTAGCCATTAGCCACATGTTGCTATTGAGCAATTAAAATGTGACTGGTATGACTGAGGGTTTTAATTTTTAACTTAATTTAAATTGCTGTATGTGGTGTTACCTATTGGACAGTGCAGTTTTTTTTTGAGATGTAATTGTCATAAAACATGCTAGTTTCAGGTATACATGATTTAATATTTACATATGTTGTAAAATGATTACAGTAAGTCTTTGAGATTTTCACACCTAGGTATAATTTTTTTTCTTGTGGGGAGAAGTTTTAAAGTCTAATCTCAGCATCTTTCAGATATACAATATAGTATTTTGAGTGCAGTTTTAAGGCTCATTCAAAATCTACTTCTTCATGAAACCTTCCTTGAACAATGATTCTTCTTAACATTACTCTATCACCTCTTTGGTACTTACCATGAACATTAATTCTCATGAGTCTTGTCTTTCCAGCTAGATTGTATCTGAGGTCATGAATTTTTAAATCTCCACATTGCTGCATGAAAAGGAACATGATAAAAATATAATTGGAGTATGTTTTAAGTAGTAACTTTGAAATGATCATTAAGTGTAATACAAAAACCTTGCTAGTTGGTAATTAGGTGAAGAATAAGGAATAGTGTGAAGGTTGCCTGTAGTGAGGAACTTAGTGTCCTGAAAGTTCAGATTGCACTTGAACTCTGGAGGAGAAATTTAAAGCCTCTTTCTTGCATTGCCATCTTGTGGCCAACGTGGGCCCCAAATGACGCTAATCCAATTTTTTGCTGTGTCAGGGTAAAGTGTTATTTAGTTTACTATGGTAAAAAGTTTGCCAGGAGTAGAAGTTAAATACAGTCAGCAGTGGCTCAGATGAAACTGAAACACGCTTTGAGAAAAACGCTATTTTGGTTTACCTTCTCATTTATTTGAATCTTATGCAACTTTGGCTCCTTCCTTTTCTGCCTCTTCCTCCAATTCAAATATAGGAAAAGAAAGGAGTACATCTGAGGTACATCTCAGTTCCCTATCTCCTGAGCCAGTATGTCATTCTCATTACTTTTTAAAGCAAACCACCCTATGTAGCTATGCTTATTTCATGCAGGAAGTAGCATGGTGAAGTGAAAATAGGGAGGTTCAACAGAACTGGGCTTAAATCCTAGCTCTTAATAGCTAAGTGATCTTAGGAAATTTATTTAATTTCTAGGAGTGTCAAATTTCCTTGTAATAAAGGGTTGTTATAAAGTTTGACATGATTTCTATAGTTCCTGACAGATAGTGGGAATTTCTAAGAATGATAGCTGCTGCTACTACTTGTCAGCTTCTTTAGTCATAACCATCCTTTAAGTCACAGTTGTCCAACAGAACTTTCTGTGATGATTGAAAATGTTTTATATTTATATTGTCCAATATAGTAGCCATTAGCCACATGTTGCTATTGAGCAATTAAAATGTGACTGGTATGACTGAGGGTTTTAATTTTTAACTTAATTTAAATTGCTGTATGTGGTGTTACCTATTGGACAGTGCAGTTTTTTTTTGAGATGTAATTGTCATAAAACATGCTAGTTTCAGGTATACATGATTTAATATTTACATATGTTGTAAAATGATTACAGTAAGTCTTTGAGATTTTCACACCTAGGTATAATTTTTTTTCTTGTGGGGAGAAGTTTTAAAGTCTAATCTCAGCATCTTTCAGATATACAATATAGTATTTTGAGTGCAGTTTTAAGGCTCATTCAAAATCTACTTCTTCATGAAACCTTCCTTGAACAATGATTCTTCTTAACATTACTCTATCACCTCTTTGGTACTTACCATGAACATTAATTCTCATGAGTCTTGTCTTTCCAGCTAGATTGTATCTGAGGTCATGAATTTTTAAATCTCCACATTGCTGCATGAAAAGGAACATGATAAAAATATAATTGGAGTATGTTTTAAGTAGTAACTTTGAAATGATCATTAAGTGTAATACAAAAACCTTGCTAGTTGGTAATTAGGTGAAGAATAAGGAATAGTGTGAAGGTTGCCTGTAGTGAGGAACTTAGTGTCCTGAAAGTTCAGATTGCACTTGAACTCTGGAGGAGAAATTTAAAGCCTCTTTCTTGCATTGCCATCTTGTGGCCAACGTGGGCCCCAAATGACGCTAATCCAATTTTTTGCTGTGTCAGGGTAAAGTGTTATTTAGTTTACTATGGTAAAAAGTTTGCCAGGAGTAGAAGTTAAATACAGTCAGCAGTGGCTCAGATGAAACTGAAACACGCTTTGAGAAAAACGCTATTTTGGTTTACCTTCTCATTTATTTGAATCTTATGCAACTTTGGCTCCTTCCTTTTCTGCCTCTTCCTCCTTCTCGTCCTCTCCCTCCTCTCTCCTCCTCCTTGTCTTCTTAATGATTTTTGTGAATTTAATGACTGGTTACAATTGTTTCTGTAGTCACACACTCTGTGGACTTGGAGAGGCTGGCATTAACCCATGCCATGTATACCCCATCTCCCTGAATTTGTTTACATGGCTGCCAAGCCCTGTTTGCAGCCAGCCCATGGCTCCTACCTTTGGCATACCTGTTCTCTTACTGTGAGACTGTTGACTTACAACTTTCAGAGGTGGGTTAGACTAACTCTAAAGTTAAACCCAAATTTCTAAATTTATACAGAAAGCTGAGTATCTTGCCAATGGGTTTCAGCCCTGGGCAAGTTCACCATGGATTCAGTGAGACCGAGGAATGACAATGAAACATTCTTCGGGTGAAAGGGTTTATATCCAACTTTATTCCCCACGGTGGTAGGTCGATCACAAGAATCCCTAGTCTGCATGCAGCAAGCCGGTCTCTGCCTCTGGGCCTCTCTGCCCCTGCAGCCGTCTCAGTCTCTGTCCTTAGTGCTGCCACCACTCCAGTCTCTGCTCTTCTGCAGCCCTATAGCCCTGTGGCCATGCCACTCTGTCGTCCAGAGCACTGGGTGTAGCTTGTCACACAGAGTCAGTAGCAACATATTACCCACATGTGTCTAGTGAGCAAGCCGACCAGGGCCACATGAGAATCCTGGCTACAGGAACCTTCACTTTATCCAGAAGTCCTGCCCTAATCTTTATCCAGCAGTCCTGCCCTAATCTGATACAGAGTTTGGGCATTTGATGACATTCCCCAAACAGATGGGTCAATTTATATTACTGAATGGAGATTCAAATAAAGAATGAACAATTTTCCTTCAGGTTAGTTTTCCTTGAGACTATATGGGTGTGACTGGGTGTGAAGTAGGTTGGTGTGCATTCAGATCATGTAATCTTAACCTCTGTGTATTTATTATTCTTTTATTTTCCAGAGATAATGCTAGGTAGTTGACAGATACTATACTTCAACTTGATTCCTAGGGAGAAGCTGATTCATCTGGAACCAGAGGTAAGTGTAAAACAAAACCTTCATTTTTACCACCTTTGGAGTTCTAATCACCTGGCAAGTTTTGGGGCTCAGTGTTCTTAGTGGCTGAAATTTGTAGTTGAAAGAGCCTTAGTTCTAACCTTAGGAGTATTTTCCTGGCTTAGGGATGAGGAGCCTGTGCTTTGCCCTTCACCAGTCATTTACAGTTTGCCATGATGAAATGCATGTTAAGTCCGTGTTTCAGCTGATCACTCTGATTAAACACATGCTCTGAGCAGACTAAAGCTAGGGCAAACACCTGGAATTGGATTCTGATGTTTGGAATTCCTCCAGGGATCTAGCCCCTGATCCCAAGTAATTTGTAAGTCTTTGAATTATGAATTTGATACTACAGCACTTTGTTATGTCTTGATCTGTCATGGTATCTTTGAGATAGACTAGGGTCAAGAATCCTCAACCTAAAAATTCATACACTACAGAAAAAGCACTGGTAGCTAGTGTAATTTTATCAACCACTTGGCAATTTTGAACTAACACTATTTTATTAGTTTATATATAAGGTGAGAATCTCAGAGATGGTTAAACCAATTTTGTCAAGATCATATAGTACAACACTATATGGTCACTTATAAGTTATGATACAGGTGTTTCTTGAAATGGTAGGGTGTTTATGGTACATGAAATTAAAAACAACTTACAGAGCAATATGTATAATCCATTTTATGCTTAAACACTTCTATATACTTGTATTTATTTGAGACATCATCTGGAAGGATATACTCAAATACTATGAATTATTGTCTCCAGAATTGGGTCCTATAGGTGATCCTGTTACCTGTTTTTTCTGATTTTATTATGTTCATGTATAACTGAAAAGTTATCTTAAGAACCTAATGGGACAGACTGTTCTTTACCAGTGCCTGCATGTTTCAGCAGAGAACAGGATGGAATATAGGAAACAGAAAAATTTCAAAGTAGCACCAGCACTTGAAATACTTACAGCTTTTTGGCTATGTCTTTTGCAGAAATGAAATTTCAGGAGACTGAAACTAGACATGCATCTCACTTTCCCAGCCTGGAACTCTGGGCTGCTGTAAGTCCTGGATGTACGGTAGATGATGACAGCATTTTTATTTTAAGGTAAGGCTTATGTTGAAATTGAGAAGCTTTGACATATACATGTGAATCTTTGTGACTTCATGGCTAGCTACTACAAATTCTATTTTTTAAGAAGTCAGGTAAAGATACTGAGAGCAGGCATAGTGTAGTACTTATAGGTTCTGGAGTAAGGCCGGGCTCAAACCCATCCTCTATCACTTAACCAGCTATATAACCTTGGCAAAATATCTCAGTGTTTTAGTGCCTTTATATCTTAAAAGATGATAATAACAGTACCTGACTCAAAGCAATAGTACTTGACTTGGAACACTAAATTAGCTAATGTGTGGGGCTTAGAACGCTGTTGAGCATGATAAATGCTCAATAGATGTTAGCTATTTTATCATTAGAGTCCATGTGTGTGTGTAAATATATATATATATATATGTAATAGATTTTGTAGTACTTAGCAAATTCTGATACGCACATAATAGGTTGTCAGAAATTCTCCATTTGTATTGCTATGTGCATCTTTCTGCCAGTTGGCCTATACCTCATTATCTTTGTCCCCAGCACCCAAAGGTTAATTTACTTCTAGAATTAGACAAAGAATAATAAACTGTAGTGTTTATCCCTATAAATAAAAATTATATCCCTAGATAATTTTTCCAGTAACTTTTTGGCACTAATATGTTTATCATCTAATTCCTCATTTTGTCTGTCTAGCTGGAAAAGTTGATATTTAATAGTTCTTCTAGTACTTGGCTCTTTAAAAATTTAGATGTAGTGATTCCTATGAGTCACTTAATAATCTTTATTAAAATGTTTACTTAAATGGTCAGAGGTAAACTTTGATGGCTGTTCCTCTCACTGCTTGGAGCCTTCGGTAGTGGGATTTTAGTCCATCAGATATTTAAGCTGATTTATCTTCACTCAGGGCACCATGGGGATGGGTTGGCTGTCCCTTAGTGCCTTCTGATTTTTGGGGAGTCAAACAATTACAAAGCAGGTGGTGATTCTAGATTAAGGGAAGTGCCTGTGATTAAAATAAAAAATAAAACATTTTAAAATATAAAGATACAGTTTATAGAGACCCCTTTGATGCAGTAGTATTTGAATAACCCTGATCTAGGAATATGAAAGGAAAGCTTTAGTCAGTTGATTCTGGGAGTTACTGAAAAATCTGAAGTCATTCATGTTTACATTTTAAATGGTTTTCACAGTTTTCTACTGAAGTGTTGTTCACACATATCAAGATAGTATTAAAACTACTGTTTTCTTTGTAGCATGAAAATAAATGACTCTTCAAATTAAGGTGGAAGCCGAATTTTCTCACCAGAAAGGTGAATCTATAGAATCAACTTGCAAAAATGTAAGAGGCAGCAAAGGAAAGAGTAAAATATTTTCTTCTGTCATTTGTAGATTCTTCACTAGATTGTAAACTCCATGAGCAGAAGAATAACTTTCTTATCTTTAATGCCTGGTGCAGAATAGGTACGCAAAAATATTGGAAGTGAATTGATACCTCCATTGATTTTTGTTGTTGTTAAAGTCCTTGGAAAATGCCAACCATTTTAATGGCATTTCATCAAATGTTTACATGGACTAAATGTTTACATAGACTTAAATTTTGACTCTGATGTAAAATGTATATATATAGGTGATGCCGGGGTTCTTGTTTGTGGAGCCGAAGAATGAGCTTCACAAACAGTCAAGGTAGGAGAGCAAGGTACAGGCTTTTATTTAGAGATACAGTGAAAGGACAGAGCTCCCAGCTCACGCGAGGAGGGGACAAGAGAGTCCATAGTGTTGCGTTGTCTAGGGGGTTTTATAGGCAGCTGAGGATTTTTCGAGAACATGAAAAAGGGGTGGGTACTTGTTAAGTGGTCCCTGAATATTAAAAATTAACTTAGCTGTAAGGAATTTCCTGTCCTGATTTCTCTCTGGGACACTGGCGCCTTGGTCTGGCAGCATATCAGAAGGCTGCCTGCCCAGCCCCCAAGGTGGGCTGAGGTATTGTCTACTTGCTAAAGAATCTCTGCCTCTTGAACTTCCTGGGTGTTAAAATGCAATCTTATCTTTAAGATGGAATTCTTCCTGCCCTTTACTATGCTGTTTACAGCTGGGTCTGCATGCTAAGTTAGTTGCTCAATTTGTAGAATCACCTGTCAGATCCGAGGGAGGAAAGACAGCACATAGACCTGGGCCTTTTAGCATGCTAAAGTGAATCTTCTACATGGTTACAAATGTTTAGCATAATAAAACGTGTGCTACTCTTCTTTATCTGGGGAACATTAACTGATTTCACTGAAGAATGATTCTAGAGCTCAATGTTAAACATAAGAGTTTTAGCGGGGGGTGGGGTGGGGGGGGAGTGTTTCCTTGCATGTCGTTACATTGCTCTGACTGCAAATATCCCGCCCTGCCCCCTCCAGAGGCCCTCACCCTACTCTGACTACATCCATGGTCCCTGTCTCATAGGTACATTAAAGTATCTGTGTGCCAATGAGTCTACTTTAAACTCTTAATATCTGATTATGATGTTTGATCCTTAAGGGACAATGAAGAATGGATGCCAAAACAACCTATGTATGTGAGGAATAGATACATAAAAGCTTACTGATATTTAATAGGAAATCTTTTAATATCAACATTTTATTTATTGGATATTTATCATTGACTTAAACTGCACATACTGCTCAAATATGATTAAAAAGTCATTATTTCTGCCTCATGTAATTGTAGATTAATGATACCAAAAAAATCATTATTTGTGCTTTGTATTTAATGTTGAAATATTCTCAGTATTTTGGCTAAATTATACTTAGGTGCCCTTTTTTTTGCCCTATGCACTGTAAGTACATCCATGAAATTATATTTAACATGCAAGGGGTACAAAATACACATCCAAATACTGGAAGTCTGATACACTTCACTGTTTTGGAATAAAATTTAATACTTATGCTTAAACTATATATACAAATGGTATGCAACTATAATAACTTCTGTAGAATATGAAACCTATTCTATAGATTGATTCTTCTATTAAAACAAATACAAATATCAAATTAGTTTTACAGTAGATTATGCTAACAGTCTAAAATTCAAAGATAATAGAGAAAATTAACTATTTCTGAAACTTAGAGAAATGTTGCACATAAATATGCATAATATAGCTGATAGGTATTTAGGATAGCTACACAAGATCAAAATCAAACTTCACAGAAAAAAAATTGTTTTTGAAAGATGAAAGTAACTTGTTATTAAATGGTGTAAGTAATGTGTAAGAGCAAATTGTGCTGTCAGTTTATGCAGACTTCATATTAGAAAGAATGGATTAAACATACATAAATGAAAAGCAAAGATTTAAACCTATGGAAAAGAAAGAATATGATCCCAGTTTGTACCACTAGAATTAACTTCATCACTCTACACTCGGAAGACATTTTAGGAAATGTGTATGAGGGCCAAGATGATCCTAGTAAAAAGTTGTTTAAATTAGGGGAGGTTTTTTGTTTGAAGGAGAAAGCACTAAGGCTTATATCCTAAGGACCCCCTAAAGCCCTTCTCAGTTTAATTTCTCATATGAATTCTAATAGACATATTGAGCAGAAAATTCTACAGTAAGCACAGAACAGAAGAAAGAAAAGTGACATGTAACAGCCTTAGGGTAGAACACATTAAATCAACAAGCAGGTCCAGGAAGGGCCACAGGCACATCACCTAAAAAAAATATACAACTGGTTCTGTTGCTTCATTTCAAGAAGTGTAATGAATATTAATAATGCAGACTCTAAATCAAGGAAAGTAATCTCTTTAAAATTTATATAGAGAATGTGTGAAAGCTGGAAGATTTCTGTTTCAAGATGGGTAAAAGATAAAATGGCAGAATCTGTCTTACCATGCAGGTCATAGCTGTCCCATTGTGGGTATCATACATTTCTGGGAATTTTCTGAAACTACTTAGTGTGCTGCCCAATTTTCAGGACCAACACTTCCATGCACCCAGAGGCCAGAACTCAAGCTGTTAACAAAAACCAGTCCTTGTCAACAAACTCGAATTACAGAACAGGACAAGGTTTTGAGGAAAGGAAAGAATAATACTAAGTTGCCAGCAAATGAGGAAGTGGCAGGCAAGTGCTTTCAAGGACCACTTCCCTGAAAGCACAAGCAGTCAGGGCTTCTAAAGGTGAAATCCTGGGAGAGACCAAGGTGTTGATGATCACAGACACAGGAAGGAGCAATTTGCAAGGATCTTGGCACACAGCCCTAATTCAATTGTGCTTTGTTTTTCTTATCAGTTCCTCCTCATCCTGAGACAGCTGCTGTAAACAGGGTTCTGCAAAATCAGCTTTCTGCTTTATCTTTGACCCGGGGACTTAGAAAATAAAACAAAAAGAAACTACCACTTGTTAATGGTGACAAGGATTTGGGGGTTACCTGAATTCATTTTCAAATTAATGTATTAAATTTTAAATCCAGGCATTTAAGTTTTCCACTCTTACGAATCTGCCCCTGTTAGCTTCTCAGCTGACTTCGTCAATTGTTAACACCCGTGAGAGCTAGGGTATACTCGTGCCAGTCGAGGCCGGTAAAGGGCACCCATTGACGATTTGTACGGTACTCCCAACTTGGAAACCTATACCAGACTCAGTCGGATTCACGGCTTTATAGCAGCTGAGAGACACCTGCGTGGTTGGGGCGCGGGCCAGAATCTACACACTACAGGCTGGCGGGTCCCAGGATGCTGGGCTGCCCCAACACCCGCGCCCCGCCCCTTCCCTTCCCGTCCTGCCCCGTCCCCAGCAGGCTCTGAGGCGAGCCTGCGCTTGCGCTCTGATGTGGCGGCCCATCCTCGTTAGTTGCGTAGTAGAGGCCGCGACGTTTTCCCGCGCTTCTCAGGCTCCTCAGCATAGGTATTTATGGTACTATAGTTTTTTTTGGAGAGCGCAGGAAGTGGGCCGAGAATTACAAGGTGAAGTTTCCGTGAATCTAATTCTCAAAAAGTTAGCTGGGTTATTTGAACAGCTCACTTAAATTCGCTCCTTCCTCATGGAAAAACTGGCATTAGCCGCACCTCTCGCTCTGCCTTGAGAAACGCCTCGACTTCTAAACTGTTCTGTATTGTCTGCCCCCTCTGCGGCCCTGCTAGAGGTAAAATAGGCCTCGTCACTTCGCGTGCCAGTGGCCATTTACCTGTGGGGGCTCCCCGAGCGGGGACATTCGGAATAAAGGTGGCAGAGCGTCCTCGTTGGCCCCTATGAATAAGGCAACATTCTTGACAGAATTTGTCGTTGATAAGTGTGAACATTTTTCCTTGGTGTTTAATTGGTGTGTCACTATTGTTTTATACAATATATGACTTACTTGGTATGTAAAAAATACTGCTGCCCATTTTAGATTAGTAAAACTCCAATGAGAGTGGACACTATATTGATGAATAATTTAAAAGCATTTTTTTACATTTACAAATGTTTTTAAATGGAAATATAGCATTGACTAGTATATATATTAATAGGTGAATTATTTGATGACAAAACACTTTATCTGCCATTTTACAGATGCTCAGGCTTCATAGTGGTCAGTTCGATGAATTAGGTTTTCATTTAATATGATAAGACTACTATTTTAAAAATAGTCAAGGCAACATAGGTAAAGAATCAAATCAGTACATATGAAAAATCTAACAATGTAACTTTAAATGCTTTGCACTAAAAAGCGGCTGAAATCAGTACCTGGACTTTTAAAATATCTGCCAAATGTGAGAAGTGATACTAAAATATTCTAGCAAACATAAATAGGCAATACATTTTGATTTTTGTTTACGTACTGAGGAATAGCAAAAAACACTAATTTTTGTTTGTACTTTGTAGATGTTCCTAAACTTTTTTTCCATTCACATATTACTTTTGGCTTTAGTAAGATTGGAATCACCTGTGTATTTAGCTTTTAAAACTTTTCTTCATGGACTTTGTAGTGGTTTGCATAAAGGAGGAGTACAATTAATATTGTTGAGTGACTCAAATTAATATAACATTGATTATAATAAATACAAAAAATACCTTATAATAAAATAAAAACATTATTTCATTTTCACTACAGTTTGACTTAATTGACATTTTCATTCATCCCTTATTAGGATTCTCTTCAACGTCTGTAGACCTTACCATCTATTATGTCTTTGTGTGAAGACATGCTGCTTTGTAATTATCGAAAGTGTCGCATCAAACTCTCGGGTTATGCGTGGGTCACTGCCTGCTCTCACATCTTCTGTGATCAGCATGGCAGCGGTGAGTTTAGTCGCTCACCAGCTGTCTGCCCTGCCTGCAACAGTACCCTTTCTGGAAAGCTAGATATTGTCCGCACAGAGCTCAGTCCATCAGAGGAATATAAAGCCATGGTGTTGGCAGGACTTCGACCAGAGATTGTATTGGACATCAGCTCCCGAGCACTTGCCTTCTGGACATACCAGGTTAGTATTTAGGCTAGTGTAGGGCATGTAATTTGAGGCATATTATTTGAATATTGAGGAAGGGTCAAATGTTTTCCCTTTACTTGTATGTATTTGCTTCTTATGAGTATGTGGAAAACTTTCCTTTTAATAAATTGTTTTTTTAAAAAAGTAATATATTTATTGCTTAAAATCCAAAAGGAAGAAAATTAACAATCACCCATAATTTCATCAGAGATAACCATTGTTAATATTTTTGTTTATGTCTTACTATACTTTTTCTGTGCATAATATATGTATTTAAATATTTTGTCTGTACAAACAGGATAATACCACACTGGTTTTGTGGCAAAGTTGACAATATATTTTGCTTAAAATATTATGAACATTTTACTAAATATTTTAAAATTAACTCCTATAATCATAATTTTAATAGTTGCATTGTATCATAACTTATTTCTAAGTTATAAAAAATGCTCATCATCAAATTCACATACTTAATTTTTGCTGAGATTAAATTCCTTAAAGTGGATAAATGCATTTCAAAGTTTTAAATATTGCAGTATTTTTAAATTGCCCACCAGTTAGTCCATATCAGTTTGTGTTCCTTTAAGAAGTGTATGAGGGTGCTTGGTTTTCCATGCTGTCTTCTCATCAGTTAGATATGGGCAAAATGGAGTCCCATTGCTCCTTATGTATTTTTTGGGTTACTTTTAGATGAACACATTTTTTTGGTATTTTTTAAATACATTTTTCTTTTATAAATTGCGTGTTTCAGTTCGCGTATTTTAGTTGATGTAGGTATTTTTTTCCTATTGATTTGTAAGAATTCTTTGTATATACTTAGATATTGCAAGAAATTTTGTTCTTTCACTTTTATTAGTCTTTGATTTTTTTAACATACTGAAGCTGAAAATTTCTGTGTATTTGATAAAATCATAATACTGATGATTGCATTGTACCATAATTTTTTCTAAGTTATTAAAAAAAATGGCCTGTGATAAGCATTCTTATCATCAAATTCATATCCATAAATCTTTCCCTTTATGATTTCTGCCTTTGGTGACTTCTTAGAAAGTCCTTCCTATGGAAAACTTTAATCATATCCTTGAGTATATTATATCTTGTATATGCATTTATTATAATGCCTCTTAAAGTTTTTATTTGTCATCTGTTAAGTAAATATTTTCATTATATTTTCCTGGGTAAGTTATCCTTTTTATAAGTACCTGTATCATCTTACGCTTACCTTTATTGTATTACTTATACTGAACTGTAATTGCTTACATACTTGTTCATCAGCTCTAGTTGGAAGAGTTCTTTAGGTCATGTTTTGAATCCTATATCTCTCTGGGTCCTCAGTGACCACCATATTTGCTGATCTTAGTAAATACTTAGACTGAATGAATAGATACTATATCTTTTAAGTAGATTACCATTTTGGGCATAGTATTGATTGAACATGTACTTGTGGTATTGTTTTCATTTTTTCAGATATGGTGGAAACCAGTGAATGAGTTAGGTAGCCAGAAATGAATTTTTTCTTTACTTCATTTATTCATTTTTTCTTAGTCATTCAAAATATATTTTTTGAGTACCGGGAAACATTTATACATCATGCACCTTCTTAGGTGCCGGATATACAATAATGAACAAAACAGATGAGCTTCTAGGATGCTATAGTTTAGTAGGAAAAAAACCCCAGATATTTACAATACAGTTATAATGCCTACAATGTTAAGAGAAGTACAAAATGCTAAAGGACCACATGTAGGAGGGGGTAACCCAGAGTTGGTGGACTTATATCGAACTGTATTGAATAGGAAAATTAAAAATGGTTTTAAAGAAAAGGAGAGTGTTCATATTTTACTTTCTTTCAATATTTAAAGGAAAGTGAAAGATACACCAGATTTGGTTTTTGTGTGCAGTGTTCTCTATTGCAATTTAATAAGTTTAGCTTAAACAGCAAATTTAATGGCTTAAAACAACACACATTTATTGTCTCAGTTTCTGTGGATCAAGAGTCCACATATGGAATCTGCTTAGGGTCTCACAAGGCTGCAGTCAAGCTGTTGATAGGAACTACAGTCTCATTTGAACCTTGCCAGGGGAAGGATGTGCTTCCAAGCTCATGTGGCTGTTGGCAACATTCACTTCCTAATGGACTATTAGACTGACGGCCCTTTGCTTTTTAATGGACTTAACTTTTTCAGCAGTTTTAGATTCATAGCAAAATTGAGAGGAAGGTGCAGAGATTTCCCATTTACTACCCTTCCCTCCACTGGTTTAGGTAGCCTTTCCCATTATCAATATCCCCCACCAGCTTGGTACATTTGTTCACACCACTGTCACCCAAAGTTCATAGTTTACATTAGGATTCTCTCTTTGTGTTATACATTCTATGAATTTAGACTAATATTTACTGACATATTATGATAGTATTAAACAGAGTAGTTTCACTGCCATAAAAAATCCTCCTGTGTACTCCCTCTTCATTCTTCCTTCTCCCTGACCTCTGGCAACCAGTGATCTTTTTACTGTTTCCCTAGCTTTGCCTTTTTCAGACCATCATATAATTGGAATCATACAGTTTTGTAGCCTTTTGGAGTACCTTCTTTCACTTAGTAATACGCACTTAAGTTTCCTCCATAGTTTTTCATGACTAGATAGTTCATTTCTTTTAGTGTTGAATATTATATTCCATTGTTAGATGTACCACAGTTTATCCATTCACCTACTGAAGGATATTTTTTGTTTCCAAGTTTTGGTAATTATGAATAAGCTGATATAAACATCTGTGTGTAGAATTCAAGTTTTCAACTCCTTTGGGTGAATATCAAGGAGCATGATTACTAGATTGTGTGGTGAGAGTAAAAAGGAGAGTGTTCATATTTTACTTTCTTTCAATATTTAAAGGAAAGTGAAAGATACACCAGATTTGGTTTTTGTGTGCAGTGTTCTCTATTGCAATTTAATAAGTTTAGCTTAAACAGCAAATTTAATGGCTTAAAACAACACACATTTATTGTCTCAGTTTCTGTGGATCAAGAGTCCACATATGGAATCTGCTTAGGGTCTCACAAGGCTGCAGTCAAGCTGTTGATAGGAACTACAGTCTCATTTGAACCTTGCCAGGGGAAGGATGTGCTTCCAAGCTCATGTGGCTGTTGGCAACATTCACTTCCTAATGGACTATTAGACTGACGGCCCTTTGCTTTTTAATGGACTTAACTTTTTCAGCAGTTTTAGATTCATAGCAAAATTGAGAGGAAGGTGCAGAGATTTCCCATTTACTACCCTTCCCTCCACTGGTTTAGGTAGCCTTTCCCATTATCAATATCCCCCACCAGCTTGGTACATTTGTTCACACCACTGTCACCCAAAGTTCATAGTTTACATTAGGATTCTCTCTTTGTGTTATACATTCTATGAATTTAGACTAATATTTACTGACATATTATGATAGTATTAAACAGAGTAGTTTCACTGCCATAAAAAATCCTCCTGTGTACTCCCTCTTCATTCTTCCTTCTCCCTGACCTCTGGCAACCAGTGATCTTTTTACTGTTTCCCTAGCTTTGCCTTTTTCAGACCATCATATAATTGGAATCATACAGTTTTGTAGCCTTTTGGAGTACCTTCTTTCACTTAGTAATACGCACTTAAGTTTCCTCCATAGTTTTTCATGACTAGATAGTTCATTTCTTTTAGTGTTGAATATTATATTCCATTGTTAGATGTACCACAGTTTATCCATTCACCTACTGAAGGATATTTTTTGTTTCCAAGTTTTGGTAATTATGAATAAGCTGATATAAACATCTGTGTGTAGAATTCAAGTTTTCAACTCCTTTGGGTGAATATCAAGGAGCATGATTACTAGATTGTGTGGTGAGAGTATGTTTAGTTTTGGAAGAAACTGCCAAACTGTCTTCCAAAGTGGCTGTAACATTTTGTATTCTTACCAGCAATGAATGAGAGTTCCTTTTGTTCCACATCATTGCCAGAATTTGGTCGTGTCAATGTTCTGGCTTTTGACTATTGTAATAGGTGTATAGTGGTATCTCATTGTTTTAATTTACATTTCCCTGACTGTATATGATAGGGAGCATCTTTTCATACACTTGTTTGCCATCTGTTTATCTTCTTTGCTGAAGTGTCTGTTAAGGTCTTTGGCCCATTTTTTGTTTGGGTTGTTTGTTTCTTTATAGGAGTTCTATGTATATTTTGGATAATTATAGTCTTATCAGATATGCCTTCTGCAAATATTTTCTTTCAGTCTGTGGCAGGTCTTTTCATTCTCTTGACATCGTCTTTCACAGAGCAGAAATTTTTTAACGGAGTCGAGATTATCATTCTTCCTTTCATAGATTATGTCTTTGGTGTTGTATCTAAAAGTCACCACTAACCCCAAGGTCATTTAGATTTTCCCCTATGTTATCTTTTAGGAATTTTATAGTTCTGTTGGCAACATTCACTTCCTAATGGACTATTAGACTGAGGGCCTTTTGCTTTTTAATGGACTTAATTTTTTCAGCAGTTTTAGATTCATAGCAAAATTGAGAGGAAGGTACAGAAATTTCCCATTTATTACCCTCCCCTCCACTGGTTTAGGTAGCCTTTCCCATTATCAACATGTAGAAATGTAATTCTACATTTAGGCCTGTGATCCATTTTGAATTAATTTTTGTGAAGGGTAAAAAGTCATGTGTAGATTTATTGTGACTCAGTATTTGCTGGCTGTTGCCCAGAGGCTGCTCTCAGTTACTTGCCCTGTTGGTTTTCCCAACATGGCTGCTTGTATCCACAAAGCTAGCAGGTGAGAGAATGTGCTAGTAGGACAGACCTTGTAGTATTATGTAATATACTCATGAAGTGACATCCTGCCATTTTTCCTGTATTCTGGTTGGGTCCTGCCCACACTCAAGGGGAGAATATAAATACCAAGAGTCAGAAATAATTGGAGGCTATTTTACTATTTTATAATCTGTTTACCATGCTATCGATTATTTTAAATATAGGATTATATTTCTTAAAAACCTTTGGGTTACATGTTATTTGTTAAGGTTAGACAAATATTTCTTTTGTTCATGTAATGGTAGTGGTTTGACATTATTCCTCTAGATTTTTTTCTATGCATTTGTGACATGTTATTTTCCATAGTAACCATCCTACTTTATGTCATGATTACTTCTTAACTGGTTCTAAATGTTGAAGTAATAACATCCCAGTATAATCATCTTTCTTTTCTTTTTGGGTTTGTATAAAGTTTTATATTATACAACTTTGTACTTACTACTTTAAAAATCTTTTTTCTCTTTGGGATAGGTACATCAAGAGCGTCTTTATCAAGAATACAATTTCACCAAGGCTGAGGGCCATCTGAAACAGATGGAGAAGATATATACTCAGCAAATACAGAGCAAAGATGTAGAATTGACCGCTATGAAAGGGGAGGTCACCTCCATGAAGAAAGTGCTAGAAGAGTACAAGAAAAAGTTCAGTGACATCTCTGAGAAACTTATGGAGCGAAATCGTCAGTATCAAAAGCTCCAAGGTCTTTATGATAGCCTTAGGCTACGAAACATCACTATTGCTAACCAAGAAGGTACCCTTGAGCCATCCATGACTGCACAATCTGGTGTTTTTGGCGTCTCTTTAGGTAAGAAAGGACATGTGGTATCAAGTATCAGTTTATTAAATCAGTGATTTTTCACACTGGCTCTGCACAATTCCAAGTGGTCAGTGGAGACTCCAAAGGCTTAGGGTGGTGATAGGCTCTAGGTTCTTCATCCATGTACTCACCTGTACATCTTTGCTTTTGTCTATTTAATATGCTTGCTTTAAAGTTACATCTTCAATTTGAACAGATAGTTTGTTTCCAAAATAAAAGTTTGTAAGTTTCTACTTTAAATGAAAGTCTATTAATTATAGGAATAATAACAACTGCCATTTACTGATTTCTTACTAAGTGATAGGCACCATTATAGTTTTATGTGTATTCATGTTATTTTTAAAACTTCATGAGGTAGGTATTATTATTATTCTATTTTACAGATGAGGAAATGGAGGCATGGAACATGTAAGTACATTGGTCAATCTCACACAGATACCTTCTGAGCCCATACTCTTAACCATTTGCTATTCTCCAAGAAGGTCATGTTTCAGTGTTTTTCACATGGCAGTACTGACTGCACAATTCTTAAGTTAGTATCTGGTTGGTTGGTTTGTTGTTTTGTTTATTTGTTCAACCCACATCAAGTATTTATCAAACATGTTTCATGTGCCAGGCTGCTAGGCATAATCCTAGGCCATGAGGATATGGAGATTATCCAGATAGGATTCTTGCTTCTGAAAGTGCACAGTCTAGGATGATACTCTTTTCTGTTTGTTAGGTGCCTTTGGTGGAGGCAGTGAATCTTATATCTCTTCCTGAGTTCTCCCCTTTGTATTACTCTTGATATAACTTGAGTTTTGCTATACTATTAATATAAATTGTTATGGCATACAAAAAAGTGAAGCGTTTAGGACTGGATTTTCCTAAATACTTATTTTTTGAATTTTATTGTGGGCTATGAAAAAAAATTTAATGGGGAAGGAGATGATATCCTAGAAAAGACATGCAGTAAGGAGATGAGGAATATCACATGTAAGAACTGAAACAAAAACAAGTTTCTGCTTAACTTTCAGTTAATCATATATTATTATTTAGTCAAAGTGCCACTGTATATGGGCATTGTAGACATTATTTTTTCCTTGTCACTATCCACATTTATTTTTTTATTTCTTTCATATTTACTAATTCCTTCATTTTACTCTTTGTGCACACTTAACCTTTTTGCTTTTACCTCTTGTTACCATTGTTGTCTTGAAGCAAACATAGCATTCTCCTTTAGTTATGTGTTCCCTTTAAAACTTGTGGAAGCCAAGGAGTGGTTTAGTGGAAATTGTTAAATGATCATTTAATCAGATTAGTGTCTGATTTTTTTCTTAAGGCTATTCCAATTGATCTTGGGTCATGAGTATGTGCCAGTTTTTCATAGTTGTCATATATTTTCTACAGTGCCTATGACAATCTTTTAAAAAAAATTTATTCTTAAAGAACTTGGGACAAAATGTTCGCATGCACATGTATATATATGATACTCCTTTAAAGTAGATTAAATAGATAACAAGTGAATAAAATAGCTCTACTAAGAGCATATTCCATGGTGTCACATTACTTTTGGTCATGAGGTCATGGCTGTCATTGAGAACTGCGTCACAGAAGAAAGTAGAGTATATACTGTGGGGTGGGGCAATTGTCCTTTTTTAAATCCAATATCAGGCATATTTTATCTGTCTCAAAGAGTTATATTAAAATATTTAGTGAATGACTTCTGTGTTTTTTTTGTACCTAAATCTCTGTAAGGTAATAGATGCTTAAGTTTTTCCCTTATTTTTTTCCTAGGGAACAACTCCAAGTTTCCTTTGGACAGTACTCCAGTTCAAAATCGGGGTGGTGGAGATGGAGATTTTCAGTTCAGACCATTTTTTATGGGTTCTCCCACAGCACCTGAACCCAGTAACAGCTTTTTCTGTTTTGCCTCTCCAAGTCGTGAATTAGAGCAACAGCAAGTCTCTAGCAGGGCCTTCAAAGTAAAAAGAATTTAGCTTACTTCTATAGAGTGTTTCTCTGTTCACTTTCAGTGATATGATTTGAGTCACCAACCTCCTTGTGCTATTGTCTTTTAAGTTGTCTTCACATTTTCAACTTACAAAAACCTCAGGAGCTGTGTGGCTTTAGAGTCTGATTTCTTTTTTTGTTTCCATTATTTAAGGCACAAGCATTTTATTAAACTCAATTTCATTGTGAACTGTTGAGTTTTCACCAGTAGTGAAAGGATTACATTATTACTGCATGTTTTCTGGATCACCATTTGCTTCTGCCTGTCCTTTTTGGATTGAGCTGTGTGTTTATGCATAAGCGTATAAGTACCTTTGTTGTACGTTTACATGTCACTAGGTTTTGGTATTTATGCCTATATGTATATATGTGTTCCCTTACATTGATATTTTGCTGTATCTGTATATTTATATGAAGATTTTGGTCTCAGGAAATGGCAGATGAGTCTGTACCTTGTTATGTAGGTGTATACATTTATTTGTGTATATTTATGTATTTGCCCTTTTATTAACTTGTTTGGAGTTGTGCTCATGTTAGTGAATGAGTTCAATTTGATGCAAGTAACAGTCATTATTTAACAGTAATTCACATTGATAAAGTAATTTTGTAAAGTTGATTATTTGGCATTATTTTAAAATTAACTCATTTATTTGCAGTTGTCTTCAGTGTATTAATTTAGAAATGTGCTTCTGCAGAAAACTTAAAATATGTTACTGATCCTAAGAGACTATGTTAATTAAAAAACTTAAAAAGATTTATTCCTTGTTTTTCTTTATTAAATAACAAGCATTTATGACTACTATCACAGATACCTTGTTAAAAACAGAGCCAAGAAAGAAATTTGAAGTACATTCTCAGTAACTTTATATCATTTCAGAGGCAAGACTTGAAAGTATACCAGTTGAGGAGGCAGAATATCGGGATTCTAATAGTGGTTTTTCCCATAATTGGTTGTGCAAGTTTGAGTTTACATTTTCTGGGCCTTTGCTTCTATATCTGTAAAATGAGGGATTGGATCGAATTATTCCATAAGTCTTTTGAACTTTTAACTTTTATGATTTGTTCTTATTGGCTTGGGAGGAATTACAATGGAATTACCCTAAATGACAAATCCCATTGTTTTTTATGTAATAAAGTCATTGAAATTATTTGAGGATATTTTATATTTTGTCAGTGAGGAAAAGCGAATACTCTTGCTTTACTAATGTTTCTTCTGGGTTATAGAATATAAAAGTCTCTTCAAAAGTGTTTTAATGTGCCCCAAAGTTAAAGTGGTGTTTGGGCAAGCGGATGAAAATCTTGACTGAAGTTTTAAAACATCCCTCCCTATTTCACAGCTAATCACAGATTTTATAGGTTATGGCACAAAGTATTTTTCTTCATGCAATTTCAATTTAAAAACATTAAAAATAATAATGAATTAGAAAATCACAATAATAAACATATTACATATGAACATAACATATTTAGGAAAACTGGAATTTTCCCCAAATACTAGAAGAGTGGCACTGTTTACATTTTTGCAGATATTTCTTAATAGAATACCATTAGACTCAAATCTATGCAGTTTTAAGTTTTGTTGGAAAATGGTTTAAGGATATAATTTTATGTACATTCATGATTTCTGCCTTGAACATCTGCCTTGTTAGGTTCACCTTACAAGGTATGGCTGCAGGAGCTATTATCACATGTTTTGAGCCCCACAAAGGCCATTTCCACCCAGTTTCTCAGTCAACTGCAGAAACTGGGTGAAATCTCTTGAAGTGCAAGTAAGCTACAATTAAAACTAAATAGAAACTGTTGGGATTATTACACGCTACTTTAAAAAAAGTTTAATTCACATGCTGTAACTTCAAAAGCTACAAAAGCATGCAGTGGAAAGTATACTGTTTATAAACCCTGTCCCCCAGCCACTCTCCCTTTTTGAATTGGTTACTCTTGACAGTGTCTTGTGTCTCAGGGATAGTCTATGTGGAAGCAAATAGGTTTTTGTTAAAAAATGTTTATATTTGAATAGGTAGTACATGAACATGATAAATTTTACAATGTACACAGTACTTTGCTCACTGACAGTTCTCTGCCCCTGTTACTCTCTCTAGAGACATTGTTTTTTTATGTATGGATCCTAGATATAGTCTATCAGTAAGCCTTATTAGTGTATTAATATGCTATATGTATTAGTGATGGCTTTCATAATACCATCCCAAGTGTTGATTTATTAGGATAGTGTGTTCAAAATGATAAAAGCATTGTAAAGTTTGGAAAATATTCAGAGTGGTTACCTTACCATTGTACTTTAAATATCCTCAAATATTTTAAACTTGTAAAGCAGGCATCCACTATCTTAGCCTTTCTTTTTTGGGGTATTGTAATCTTGGTGTAAATAACCTAGTAAGATATGAAACAAAACGCATGCAATTAAGCTGAGAGCATTTTGTTTCCATGATTTGTCAAAGAAGTTTGTGAACTCAAAGGTGAATACAGAGTATCTGAGCTACAGGCTTTGGGTTAAATTGGTTTAGAGTGATCTTTGAAAACGAGCTCCTCCACTCAAGTGCAGGGAAGCCGCCGGCACCCTAGATGTCGCTGTGGCTCCATGATGTCGGTGGGTATGAGTCTCTCTGGTTATAAAGTCGGGGGCGGAGAAGCCGAGAGTGGCTGGGAAATGATGGCTGATGAAGAGGAGGAAGTGAAGCTGACCTTGCAGAAATTGCAGGTGGGGCCGTATATTAAAATCTATACGTTAAAATCTATATTTGTTACTCCGGAAGAAGCCCAGAGCCCAGTCTGTCCAGTACCTGCGCATTCCGTGGCACGTGCACACGCCGTCTGTGTCGGAGCGGATACTATAACGACTCCCTGGGGTGCAGCCGCAGCCGGAGCGCCCGCTTCCCCCGGCCGGGGGAGGAGCGCGGCGGGTTTGTCGGGACCTCCTGCTGCTGACCTGCTAGCACTTAATTTCAATCTCGCGTGGAAGAGAATTTGGTGCTGCTAACTTTGTCCCTGAAAATTCTTAAGAATTTTTTTTTCTCGAGTCACTTATACGCTTACGTATGGCTGCAGGAGCTATTGTCACATGTTTTGAGCCCCACAAAGACCATTTCCACCCAGTTTCTCAGTCAACTGCAGTTGTGACTAGGATTAGTCTTTTGTACTTTGTAGGTAGGAGCTAACTAGTTGCATGGCTCTTATCTTTTCTTAAATCTTAGCAACTCAGTTCTTTGCATTCTAAGATGACCTGGAACTTAAAACATGAGACCTGTGACAGGCTTGTAACTTGCTGAAAGGCTTCTGATGTAGATGTTTGAATATTGGTGAGACTTATAGGTTTCTTGAGCAATTAAAAATAATGCCACTTTTTAGAGTGAGCTTTATCTTACTTAACAGATGACTTGGATCAGTTTAATTTATTTCCTACTGTGACTGGCTGAAATGAAATGTTCCAGTTCTGGCTCCATATGGAGACATTGTGGTATGTTTGTCTATGTATAGAAAAAAATTTGAAAAATCATATTAAACAGTGGTTTTATCCCTGAGGTGGTTTGGGGAGTGATTATGAGAAATCTTTTACTTTGTAGTTTTTTACATGTCCTTATTTGAATTTTAATAGTTTACATATGTTGATTTTGTCATGAGAAAAAAAGTTATCAAAAATACTCCAAAACAAAACAACAACACAACAATGTATTTCATGTTTGCTTTAAAAAGTAAAGCAATGATGACATCCTCTCTAAAATAACTAATTTGCAGCCATAACCATTGCAGGGCAAAAGGAGATAGGTTGTAATTTTAGCTGAGAGCTGCCTTTTCCTGGGCTTATTTGTGATAGATGCACAGGCATCTAGATGGAGGTTACTTGAGGTGTCTTGGAATGGGTGGGGAAGGTGCAGGACTGGAATAGAGGAGTGGAATAGAGAAGAAAAAATAGTGATGTTGCTTTCTGTGGAAAGGGAGGTGAGCTTTGATTTCATTGTTACAGACATTTTAGGGTAGAGGGAATGTATAAAAATATATTTTTCAAACTTATGGACCATTTTCATTGCAGTCATCTGGGGTGCTTGTTAAAGAGAAAAATGTTGAGTTCTGCAAAAACTACTAAAATCAGGATCTCTAAAGGCTGGGTCCTAGAAATAATACACACAATAAAATTGGAAAAGCACTGTTGTAGAGGGTGCTAGTCCATTCTTTTCATTCTGGGTAGGATTTTAAGTTAAATTTAAGTTCATTTATAAACATATTTATTAGAGACGGGGATGATTCATTAATTCATTCAGTCAGCATATTTAATGAACGCCTATCATGTCTGAAGCTCTGTTGTAGTGCACGGATGTAGCTCTTAACATAACAGGTTAAGTAAGCCCTTCCCATCGTGGAGCTTACATTCCAGTGGTGGAGACAGACAATAGACAGTTAATGAATAGGCCACATAATTTCAAACGATAAGTACTATGAAGAAAAGGAAGAGTCATATAAATGGGCAGAGGAGGAAGGGGTTACTTTGGGTAGTCAGGGAAAGCCTCACTGAGAAGTTGATATTTGAACTAAGGTCTAAATGGTGGTGAGGAATGAGCAAGGCAAAGATCTAGGCAAACAGTGTCCAGGCAGAGGGGATAGCATGCTGAGCTTGGTGGATCTGAGGAACTGAATGAGAGCCAGTGTGGCTTGTATATTTGTAGGAGGGAGAGTGATAAGCGAAGTTTGTGGGAGGGTGAGTAGTGGGAGCTCAGGTTATATAGTCTCCTAGGCTGCAGTAAGGAGTTAGATTTTATTTTGTCTGCAGTGGGAAACTATCTGAGGACTTGGGATGTACGTTTTTCTAAGGTTACTCTGACTACAGTGAGAATGGAGAGGGTAGAAGTAAGATGACAGGTAAGAAGCTACTGCAATAGTCCAGGCAAGTAATGGCACTGATTTAGTGCAGGACAGATGCAGAGATGGAGACACGTAAATGGATTTAGGATGTGCTGCAGAGGTAGTTAAAACTTGATGGAATTTTATTGTCTATTTCTGCAGCTATTCAGTTTCAGGAAAGAATAGATGATGGAAAGCTTTGGTGTGATAGGAAGACTCAGAGATAGAGGTATTTGAAAGAGGAAGGAGAACATTTACTTGGAAGAATGCAGGAGAGCAAGAAGGTGATTTGACAAAAACCAAACTGAACCAAACCAAATGCACAAGTATTTAAACAAACAAGATCCTTTAAAAATACCAAGGTTATCAAGCTTAAATTGGTCTGTATCATATTCATGATATCATGAATATCATGAATATCATGGTATCATATTCACAAAGATCATGTGTTTTCAGTTACCAGCATAGGAAAATCAGGCATAAGATTGTTTTGTTAGAAAGTCCAGTTTTAAGGGTATATTTCAAAGTTTTATACTTTGGGAAACCAGTATTGGATAGGGTTATCTTACTAACTTATATCTTATCTCAAGTTGCAAAGTATTGCCCTCCTTCTGACTGTGGTATAGGAAGTGCTTAGTCATATGGGAAGCCTGCTGGGGTTGGGAGAGAGAACTGTCAGCATGCTGCAGAGACTGGTATGGAACGCTGACATTTTGATAGACCTGTCCACCTGCCTCTTGTGTCATTCTGAGGTGAGATAGTCAGTTTTTCTAGGCCAAGAGCTGGAATGGCTAGCCAATCTCAAATTTCCTTGTCTGGCATTCTCTCCACTTAATCGTACCATCCATCCTTACACTTCCAAGGAACTGGTCGATCAGCTGTATTCATTTCGCGAGTGCTATTTTGAGACACATAGTGTTGAAGATGCTGGAAGGAAACAACAGGATGTGCGGGAGGAGATGGAGAAAACCCTGCAACAGATGGAGGAAGTAGTGGGTATGGGTCCCAGGACTGCATGCAACCCCCTGCCTGCCATTGAGATGTGAGAGTTTTGCTCTCTCTCTCTGTAGAATCTTTGGTATCCTTTTTGTGGCTGCTATGGGATGGTACAACAGAGTATTTTTCTTCTAAGGGTCCCTTGTGCTATCAGTCCTCTGAACTAATTTTTGCTGAAGTTTGATTATAGCCAGTGTCATGAAGTAAAAGAGCATAGTGCTGCTTGAACTATTGCAGAAATCTTAACTGACTTTCTATCTCTAATTTATTTTACTTCTAAATCAACATATGTAATGACCTTGGATGTTATTTTTATTAGTTCATGCGTTTAATCTTACCCTTTCTGTCTGCGTCTTTGCTCAAGTAAAAGATTCCTACTATTGACTGATTGAAGTCTAAGCCCCCTGACCTGGTATTCAAGTTTCCATTCTCTGACTTTTTTTTTTTTCTACCCTTTTTTCTCACTCATAGAGAAACTTTGGTTCATTCAGGTTGGGCCAACCATTCTCCCATGAATGTGCCACATGTATTCCTGCCTCTTTCTGTGTCTTTGTTTACTTCATTTTCCTCTCTGGGAATCTTGTCTTTTCTCCTTTTCACTTTTTAAAGCACATTTATTGGGTGTATGCTATAGACTCCCTTTTCAGTATTTTTTTAATTTTCCATGTATATGCTTTGTCATTTCACTAGATTGTAAGCCCCTCAAAGGCATGAGTAATGCTTTTTGTGTTACCCTCCTACCTAATATGCACTTCACATATGGTAGGCATTCAATAAGAGGTGTGTTCATAAAGATCTTACTCAATTACTTCATTCCTAGATCTGTCATGGGGTTATTTGAAAGTGGCCCCATCTTGTCTGTAAGACTGGGTTTTTCTTTCTCTTTTTGCCTAGAAGGCTCTATCCAGGGTAAGGCACAGGTTCTGATGCTAACTGGGAAGGCACTGAATGTGACTCCTGACTATAGCCCTAAGGCTGAGGATCTTCTGTCAAAGGCTGTCAAGCTGGAACCCACGCTGGTGGAAGCCTGGAACCAGCTGGGTGAGGTGTACTGGAAGAAAGGCGATGTTGCAGCTGCTCACACCTGCTTCTCAGGAGCCCTCACCCACGTGAGCTGCCCACTGTCCCCTCAGAAAACACAGATGGGGAGGATGGGGTTCTATGAATTTCCCCGGGATATGAATGTGAGTACGACTGTGTTGGAAGTAGGAGAACAGAATCTGAAGGGAGGAAGGGTGTGGGAGCAGACCTGAATGAGGAAAACAGGTACAGGCAATTGAGAAAGGAGATGATGATGAGATCAGATTCTGGGGTAGATAAGAAGAAAAGAAATCCTTGTAGAAATAAAGATGATCCTTGTGGATGAGGGTCTAAGATACCTATGGCAGTAAGAATTAAGATGGAAAATTAGATTTAGAAGAAGCCTGAGATAGAATAGATCTGGAAAGGAGAAATAGAATCAGGAAGGTTGAGTCTATGTCTTCTCCTTTTGCAGTGCAAGAACAAAGTGTCCCTTCAAAACCTGTCAATGGTGCTTCGCCAGCTCAGGACTGACTCTGGAGATGAACATTCTCGCCACGTCATGGACAGTGTCCAGCAGGCTAAGTTGGCTGTGCAAATGGATATTCATGATGGCCGTTCCTGGTGTGAGTGCTTTCAAAAGCTCTCCAGTGAGTTTCTGGGGCCGTGGTTCTCACCCATGGCTATTCTACAGAGTCATCTGGAGCCCATCTGTTGAGTCTGACCCTAAGTGTCAAGCCAGGGCATCTTTGTTTTGAAGAAGCCCAAAAGGTACTTTGATGAACCACTATTCTAGGACCTCTTAGATCATTTCATCCAAGAGGAGAGGCTTAAGTTTCCACATAAGCAAGGCAGCTTTTGTGCACTCTGTTCAAGTTTCTCCTTTGGGCCCACATTTGCCTTTTTATCCAAGTGGAATTTGGGGTTTACTAAATAGGCTGTCATCATTGGTTTGTGTCAGATGTGCGGCCTTTCCAAGAGGCTTTTGAGGGTGACTAAAATAGGTTATCTTGAACCTGGGCTCTGAGATGTGATACACCACTGTCTTTCTCAGTTTTGTCTCCCTGCTTAGGGATGGCTAGAGTGGGCTGAAGTTGTGTTTCCCTTCTCCCATGTGGAAGGCTAGAGCCAGTTGGAGGTGGTTATTTCCCTTCCTCTGGTAAATTATGCTCTGATAAAACCCCTGGTCAACTAGTTTCTCCTGAGGGAAGGCCTTGATAAGAGGGAACACTTATCAAGTGCTCCAGAATATTCCAAAATGGTTCCTTTCCCTCTCCCCCTGCTTAAAGTATGAGGGGATTTTCATATGATATTTGCTGGGGGAATGTGGTTGAGTTCCTGGAGGTAAATCTCATAATATTGTGGGGTATTACTATGCCTGGGACCCCTAGAGTTTTTAACTCTCAGACCTGCCCATGCTGAGCTGCCAGCAGTTTGTCACTGTAGTTCAGGTTTTCTATGCCGGCACCATTCCCTGTGGCAGCTCTCGAGTTTCTACTCAGGTAAGCCACAGCTCCCTGTATTGACCTGTCTGTCTCTCCAGTTTTGGGGCCACCAGTTTGCCCTGTGTGGTCCTCTCTCTATTGGATCCAAGAAGAGTTGTGAGTTTTTCAGTCTGTTCAGGTTTTTACTTGTTAGGGTGGAGTGGCAACTTCCCAGCCCCTTGCAGCCCTGTGTTTCTCTTTCAGATATCCTGGGGAATGCATACCTTTCTCTTTACTTCAGTACTGGCCAGAATCCTAAGATCTCCCAGCAAGCCCTCAGTGCTTATGCCCAAGCAGTAAGTATTTATGGTTACCCAGGCCAGATGAACAGAGGTAGCAAAGAAGCAAAAGTATTGCTCAGTCCTCCTGCAGTGCCCCAGCAAGCAGCATGGCAGTGCCTGTGGGTATCCAGTGTGCAGTTCTATATAGCTGTGTCTGCAGAGGCAACTGACTTCTTATAACTGGAGCATTACTTGCAGTGGGTACCTCAGTGCTGGGTAATTCCTTGAGCTGTCTGGATTTCTTACAGGTTTGAATAACCAAATCACAGAGCCCATCCCGACATGTTCATCTTCTGTAATGTGAAAACAAGTCTATATTAAAATGTTGATTAATATTTGTGTTTATTTGTAAAGGGAAATGAGAAATTCTAATATTTAAGTATAAGTTAAGCACTATACCCAGATGAACCACTGGATATCGTTTTGGGTTTCCCACAAGCTAACATAGAAAACAGCCTGTAGCCCATTTTGCATCATTTCCTGGGGATTTGGATTCTTTGGAAGCTCATGCTTTCCTCATGCTTTCCGATTATTTTTGTATCTATAGTCACTTGCGTGGGGGTGTCCTTCAGGCCTTGTGAACCTCATTACTCCTTTATTAGAAGGATCTCATTGGCCTTCTGAGCACTCTTAGTTAGGGCTTGCATTTACCTTTCTTCTTTAGCTTTCTGCTTTTCCTGACAGAATTCTTTTTAACTTACCATTAGTTACATTGCTCTGTGTGTCAGAATAAAGAATACATTCTTAGTTTTTTCACCCAGAATTTCACTTTAAAATGTGTTAGAACAAATTATTTAAACGATTTTAATTCTTTTTTTTTTTTTTTTTTTTTTTTTTTTTNAAAAATAAAGTGAATGTAGGCAACAGTTTCTTCATGGCACACTAGTCTACAGTGGTGTGTGCTTTCTGGTCATCTGCTTAAGTTAGAGGATCAGAATTTGACTCTCAGTGTGTTTTAAGGGGATATAGACTTTGAAACACGATTCTGCCTGTATCTAAAACTGGGCCCTTGGGCTGAGGAAATGCATTAAATCCACAGTGTTTCTTTCCTAGGCTTTTTTCATTTATACCATCACCTCACTATTTAAAAAAACTTTTTTTTAAATCAGAATACTTTTACATATTTTTTTGTTACAATTTTTTAAATTAAGGTATTATTGATATACATGCTTATGAAGGTTTCACATGAAAAACAATGTGGTTACTATATTCACCTGTATTATCAAGTACCCCCCATATACCCCATTGCAGTCACTGTCTATCAGTGTAGCAAAATACCAGAGTCACTACTTGTCTTCTCTGTGCTTCACTGTCTTCCCCATGATCTCCCTCACACCATATGTACTAATCATAACACCCTTCAATCCCCTTCTCCCTCCCTCCCCACCCGCCCTCCCACACGCTTTTCCTTTGGCAACCACTAGTCACTTCTTGGAGTCTGAGTCTCCTGCTATTTTGTCCCTTCAATTTTCCTTTGTTCTTATACTCCACAAATGAGTGAAATCATTTGGTACTTGTCTTTCTCCGCCTGGTTTATTTCACTGAGCCTAATACCCTCCAGCTCCATCCATGTTGTTGCAAATGGCAGAATTTGTTTCTTTCTTATGACTGAATAATATTCCATTGTGTATATGTACCACATCTTCTTTATCCATCATCTATAGATGGACACTTAGGTTGCTTCCATTTCTTCGCTATTGTAAATAGTGCTGCAATAAACAGGGGTACATATGTCTTTTTTTTTTTTAAATCATTTTGTTATCAATCTACAATGACATGAAGAACATTATGGTTACTAGACTCCGCCCTTCACCAAGTCCCCCCACAAACCCCATTATAGTCACTGTCCATCAGCATAGTAAGATGCTGTAGAATCACTACTTGTCTTCTCTGTGTTGCACAGCCCTCCCTATGAACCCCCCACATTATACATGCTAATTGTAAGGCCCCCTTTCTTTTTCCCTGCCCTTATCCCTCCCTCCCTTCCCACTCATCCTCCCCAGTCCCTATCTCTTTGGTAACTGTTAGTCCATTCTTGGGTTCTGTGAATCTGCTGCTATTTTTTTCCTTCAGTTTTTCTTTGTTCTTATACTCCACATATGAGTGAAATCATTTGGTACTTGTCTTTCTCCGCCTGGCTTATTTCACTGAGCATAATACCCTCTAGCTCCATCCACGTTGTTGCAAATGGTAGGATTTGTTTTCTTCTTATGGCTGAATAATATTCCATAGTGTATATGTACCACATCTTTATGCATTCATCTACTGATGGACACGTAGGTTGGTTCCATTTCTTGGCTATTGTAAATAGTGTTGCGATAAACATAGGGGTGCATCTGTCTTTTTCAAACTGGACTGCTGCATTCTTAGGGTAAATTCCTAAAAGTGGAATTCCTGGATCAAA